TGTGGGATCCTTTTTTTCTGATGCCGCCTTTCACGGCAAGCGTTGAGGTAGGGTAAACCCCTTCAGGTGTGTCGGAGAACGCGAGAACCTGGGGGAGAAGAGAGAGAACACAAAGAGGAGTGCACAAGGGTTCCAAGAGCCCGGGAGGGGGGGGGGGGGGTAGTCAAGCCAAGTAGCTTGTTTGGTGTGTCGAGTGATTGTCCTAAGAGAGCTTTTTTTCGCAATGTCTTTTGCCTGTTTTGCCACCGCGAGGAGACTACCCGCACGCGGCATTGCTTGCCATCTGGCACACCGCCTGCTGTCCGCGACGGGGGCGACCAAGGCAGGGATAAGACACGACGGCGACAAGGGCCGTGTCTTCCCTCTTAAGATGCACCTGCCTTCATCTTTTTGCCCTTCATCCACCATGACACCACTCGAGACTCTCACCGTAGTGACCACGCTGTCGGGAGGCCTCAGGCACTCCACCTTCAGGCGCACCGTCTCCCCGCCGCCGCCCTTGCGCTTAGCCCCGACGAGGTCCTTGAGCCGCCCGACGTCCTCGGTCCGGTACTCGCGGCGCGGAGAGTCCCCGAACTTGCCCCGGCTGCCCCAGCGGAACGACGAGAAGGACACCGCGTGCTTCTCCGCGTCGCCCATACGGCCACCGGCGTCGTCGACGTCGTCGTCGACGGGGCCCCTGCGGGAAGACGTCTTGAGGGCGCCCTTGACTTTGTCCTTGCGCTTGCGGATGGATCTCGAGGCGCGGTGCCCGCGCCCCTGGTGGTGGTCCGCGTACACGGCGGCCTCGACGATCCTGCGGGTATGTGGGCAGGGTGAAGTTGGCTGTTAAGCGTGTCGTGACTTTGAAAGGGAGGGAGTAAGAAGGTGAGTTACACGAGAGCGTGAATTCGGGCGTGCGGTTCATGCAGTGATCGGCTCTTGGAACCGCTCGCTCGCATCAACAACGGCTCAGAAATTAATACGACGTGGCTTTTATTTGCTCCATCACATGATCTCGGGAGGGTGCAGCGACCAGAATTCCGTGGCGACAGCAATAACAACATCAGATACCTCTGGATGTTGCTCGAACATCAGCAGGACACCGGTCGTTCATTCAACACTGTGATTTCAATATCAATTTATCTTGCATCTGCGAACAGACATGATATATTGCTTTGCTCTTTGTAAGCAAACGTTTTAAAAACTTAACCTCTTTTCGTAAAATAAAACACAATACGAAGT